ACAGTGGCGGGTGGTTTCCTTGCTGATGCCATTGTCTCTGTGTGGGCGAACGGGAGGTGTTTTGGGGAAAATTAGTGCAGCTGGAGTTTCCCTTTCTGGCCTCAAAACGGGATGGGGGGACTCAGGCCGTGTGCTTGGGTTTGACTGGGGAGCCGAGCCTAGCTCCTTTGGCTGAACAGCAGTCTCGGTATCTGCTGGGCGGGGGGACTCAGGCTGTGTGCTTGGCTTTGACTGGGGAGTCGAGCCTAGCTCCTTTGGCGCCGTAGGTGCCCCACTGAACAGCAGTCTCGGTATCTGCTGGGGCTAGGTGATGCTCTCCTGCTGGAATGGACAGTTGAGAAAAGTGGGGTGATTGTAGGCCCACTGTGCAGCGTCATTCAGCTGACGGAGGGGGCTGCCTGAGACAGATCTCCAAGCCTTGGTTCCACTGGAAAGCAGACTCTTTGGGCCTGTGATCAATGAACCTCTCCCTCTCCAGCACCTGCGGCTATTAAATCTAGGGGATAGTACTGCTAAGAGTTTACAGATGGTCCAGCCCCTTGCTCTGCTTTTCCAGTTTACCCTCCTGGTCAGTCCATAAGTTAGCACTGACCCACAGGAAAGGTTGTGGTACATCTTGTCCTCCAACCAGATGCAAAATGACAATGATGGGTCTAGTGGAAGGGGGAACATCAAAGGGATGAATTCATATTGGTCCCCTGAAGTTCAGATGTGAATTAAATCAATGTTCCATAGATTTAGGTCCAGGGAAAATAGACCCTAGAGCTTTGAAAAAGGTGATTCAGTAGCAGCTTCTTGACACTTTCCTCCTGGTGTGACGCTCGGTGATGAGGTGTAACTCGCTGTCTGGCACACTTACCAGAAGACAAGGGCATCAGGATGATTACAAAAGAAAGCAGAATCATTCTAAAGGGTTTGCAAAGGAATAGGATCCCAACTTTTGGAAGGTGCTGTCACATTTTGCGTTTGCATGTCACAGGTAAAGCATGACTGCCAACACAGATTGTGCCACCATATATGTTAGAACATTACTGCAACACATGCTTAATTCAGCATGTTTCAGTTCCACTGGCTTCAATGAGATTTAAACATGGACACAACTGCTCTACTAAGCAGGGTGTGGCTTATTCGTGTTCTCAAAGTTTAGCAGGTACTTTTAAATGCTGTACTTATTAAGGCCATCGAGGGCAAGCAAACAGGACTGGACTTCAGATTCATCGAGGGTTAAAAATAAGATGCCTTTTCTTACAGCTTATTTTCTAGTATCCAATCTGATCTAGTTCATGTTATCCACAAAAGAATGTATAAGATGAGCATAATGCTAGCTTGATGCTAGCTTTATGGAAATAGTTCAGATGTCAAATTGAATCAGATATATTGGGATTACTCCCCGTCTGCACACCCAATTATGAAGATTCATAACTAAGCAAATGTATGTTACTGAGACTGGTACTGCTTGCCAAGATTGCAATAGATGGACTATAAGGCACAAGGCCATAGGCCAAGTGATTTCAGCCACACAGAACCATCAATAGCACACTAATTCATACCTTGCTGTGGCTCAGTTGAAATATTAGTTTTGGCTAACAATTTTTTATTTTGGCAGCATGGTGGAGAGTTTGCATCATGGAAGATAAGTGGAATGTAGTTTATAATACAGTGATTTTAATTACAGACTACAGAGTAATTACAATATAGTGCTTTCTGATATCTATAACTATCAGTCATTCATATAGCTAAATATACAATGGAATTATTTAATACCCCATTAGTTTAAAAGATGTAGCTTTAAAATCCAGGTACATTAAGTTCATTGCATTTACATCAAAATTAGTCTGAAGGTATAATTTTGGTGGTAAAGCATAGATAAAGAACTTGGATTCTAAAAATACATGTATTAACTATAAAGTTCTGGGGATAATTCACTAATGTATTTTACTGCCTGGTTATAGAATTCTGTAGTAGTTACATATATCAAAAGGGATAACATTAGAGAAATGACAGTATAATGTACTAGGTGTGGAATTCAAAAGGATAACAAAGGATCAAGTCATGAAGATAACCTTCAGTTATGTTAGATACAGGGACTGAAAAGCATAAACAATGTGCAAAATTGTGCTATATGTAAGGTAACTACATTTGAACTATTATTGATTGTTTTTATTTTCCTTTAAAAATGATGTAGCAGAAATGGGAGGGGTATCAAGATAATTAGAGGCATGGGAAAACTTCCATATGAGGAGGGACTGAAAAGTGTGAGATGGTTAAGTTTAGAGTGGAGATGAATAAGAGAAGACATGACTACGCTATTGATACTAATGAAGGACAGACAGCATGGAATCTGGCTACCCATATTTAGTTCCAGCTTATACAACATGAAGGGGCATTCTGCCTGATTCTGACAAAATCCTGGGTCAAATTCCAATGATGCAGTATCTAAATGCACACATGGGGTATTTCTTGTACTCAAAATAAGAAATCATCGTATTTTATATTCTCGCTAGTTAAACTTTGTCACGTCCTGTAACGCACTTTTCCCCTGCCAGTTTAGAGAGATCACTGATTAACAGTTAGAAGCTATGGCTTCTGAGTCTAACCGGAAGTAAACAAAATATGTTTTTTGTTTAAATAAGAGGCTGAACTTAATGAGGTTCTCACACATATTTAGAAGGTTATCGATGTTTTAGTGCAAATGCTATCAGACCAGATAAATCCATACTCATTGCATTCTTGCATATCTGGAACTAATCTGCTAGCCTGTACTAATAACGAGGCATAGTTCATGCTGACTTCAGTTTCCCAGCTGCATTAATCCTATTGCTATTATGTGTCCATGGAGCTCTTTACCATAGTATAAATGCCTCATTGATCCTCACATTGGCCTTGTGAGGTTGGGAAGTATTATTATCCCCATTTTACGGAATGGAAACTGAGGCACACTGGCTGAGTAGCGAACAGGAAATCTGTGGCAGAACTAAAAAGAGCACCTTGATCTCCTGAATCCCAGGGCAGTGCCTTAGCCACCGGCTCACCCTGCCTTCGTTACTAGCCTTGTGGCCGGTGCACACATTCTTTTCTGGGAGACTTTTATTTTTGTAGACTTCTGACTTGCTCAGTCAGCACTTTGTGCTTACAGCTGGCCAGCACAGAACAGTGATGGGGCAGCAGATGAGGCTGGATTTGGCAGAGCGGAACAGAGGAAGTTTCCACCCACACATAGGCAGCAGTATTAAGAAGATACACTAGCATCCCTTCATTTCCCTACCAAAAATCAACAACAAGAATTCACTTCAAATGTGCCATATGGGTCAAATCACAGAATATCTCGTCTCAATAAGCTTTACAGAAGCCATAAGCCTCATAAAAAGGAGACTGAAACCTTCTTAAGGGTATGTCTACACTGCAAAAACACCTCCACAGCAGCAAGCTTCAGAGCCTGGGGCCACTGATGTGGGTTTGCCCTTCCCTGGTTTCTGAGCTCAAGGCTTCAACCTGAGCGGGAATGTCTACACTTCTATTTGTAGCTCCATAGTGCAAACCCAGTTTCTGAAAACTTGCTGCCACTGGATTTTTTTGTGCAGTTTAAACATGAGTAAGCCAAGTACAGGCCTTGAGCTAACTAAGCAAATTCCTGCTTCTGTGCCCTCTACTGGCTATAATCTGTCAACTAGCGCCATCCGCTGAGCCGCTGCTGAAGACTGTCCAGACATTACACAAGAAGGTCCTTCCCCGCCCCCTGCTGGATTTTAGCAGGACAGCTTGGTTTAAATGTTGCTTGACTGAACTTGTATTTCTTAAATCACACAGATGTACTTAAATCATAATCATTGACACGGCAAGAAAAGCTAGTAATTAATACAATGTCTGCAGTAGCTGTCAATGTTGTTGTAATCTATTTTTTCTATTATCACGTGTACTGCAGTAGTGCCTAGAAGCCTCACACTACGATCCTCGCCCACTGTTCTATGCACACACAATGCAAATACAATCCATGAGCCAAGCACTATCCATATCTGGGTGCTCTTGTTTTCCTGGTCTTTCGATATTATTCTGATATTTCTAAAAGGAGATTTTGGTTTTCTTACATCTTCATATTTAAATTAGGTTAAAGTTTCCAGCCAAGAGGAAATATTTCATTTCAGGAGGACTCTGAGCATATTTGCTACAGCAGACTATGAAGAAACAACATCAGAGGCTAGGGTAACTCCTAGGTTACACAGGTAAGGACTGTGCCCAGAAGTGGAAAGTCTGTCTAGAAGGCAGTTGCAATGGCACAAGTTACCCATGAGTTCTCTTCCACCAAGGGGCCTTCTAGCATCACTCCCACTGGTGGATAAAAGGTGGTTTGGGAACGAGTATTGTCTGAGTAGCCAATGCATTGCTGCAGTTCCTGAGCAACAACAATCACGAGGACTTCTATGCAGTGTAAGCTGT